CAGTTCTTTAATGTCTGACTCTACATTTATACTTTGAAGTAACTGTGATTCTTTCTTGATATTTAATTCTTGCAGATCTGGTACTCATACATTTAACTGAGTTCCTGTGTATTTAGTTTTGCTTCTAAAACTGGTGGGTAATGTTATTCCTTGACCATGTGCCAAACAATTTCTAGCTAGTCCCAAGTTTCTGCTATCTCTTTGCTTAACTACTCTAGTATGATAGCCATATTGATGTACATCTGATTTTGGGCACACTACTGATAGGTTCATCTCTTACATTAAACAACCAAGTTCCTGGGGTCATTGTCTTATTCTCTTCTTATTCAGTGGGAAGGTATCATTTGTCTCAACTTTTGCACATAAGTCTGAATGTATGAGTTTTTCATAACTTAAGATCTCCATTTCTACGAGCAGCTTACCTCTGGCAAGAGATATTTCAGTGTCATAACCCCTCAATAAATCCTGCCCTATAATACCAACTGTTTCTAACTCTATCTGTTTACAGATATAAAATGAGTTTTCTATCTCTAATTTTCCTGTTTTCATCTGAAAATTATGTTTGTGTAGCATCTTAAGTTTAGAAACTTCCTTCCAATCATTATTTAGTAATGTTGGATTTTTATCCACTAGTTCTGCACTTACCAATGAAGATCAAGTGCTTATATCAACCAGTAACCAACATTCTGTAGTCTATATTTCTTCTAAAACTACTGGTGACACTTCATTAACATTACAAACACTCAATCTTTTATTCCATGCAGCTGAAACTACCTCTACTTTCACTCTGTAATCCTGGTGGGGATTATGTTTTTTAATTCTATAGTGAACGTAGGACTACTATTGTTTCTCGGGAACTTTCTTCTGAAAGTCCCAGCCTTTCAGGGTTTTCTATCTTCAGCAGGCAGCTGCAATCTCGGGCTATGTGGCCTTTAATACCTCAATTAAAACATGCTATCTGCTCATTTCTTTTCTGTTTCTGAAAACAGATCTTTGTTATATGGCCAATCTTGCCACAGTTAAAACACTGGAAACTGTTGGGCTTATTCTGTTTGTTTTGCCAGACTATTTTGTTAGGTATATTACTGTATACTACATTTGCTGCAAAGTGTTGAAGCTTCTCTCAATTAGCTATTTCAGTCAGGTCTAGTAAGGTTGTGTCAGGCATATTTGCCTCATTTACATGGCTGCAAGCTGCGTTACTAAGCAAACCTCGCTCATAATCAGATTTTAAAGTATCCTGAATCATTACTTTGTTTGGATGTCTATAAGCTCTGTGTAATCTGTTTCCTAACTTTTGCAGCTTATGCCCAAATACCCTGACTGACTAACCTCGTTGCTGAATTAAAATACATATCTGTGTCAAAATTGTATTTGGTGTTTCTCATTTCCTATATTCTTTTACTATCCTTCACACTAGATACTGAAAATCTGCAGTTCATTATAAGCTCTAATATAATGCTTTGCTTCTCCTGCTGTTCTCAGTTTCAACATATCTGCTTTTTGAGTGTCAGTTCAATCCGAAATTCTTGCAGCTTCATTTGTAGCATGTATAAAACCATCGACATCTTTGTTGAGCCTCATGTGGTACAATGGTTTAGCATCCATTAAGTGTGTAGCTCTGCATAGACTTGCTGGTGCGGGTTGATCTGCTGCTGCTTCATAATTTACTTCAGCCTTTCTATCAACTCTAGAGCATGCACCACCCTCTTCTATAGTAGTATCTATGCTAACAGTAGCCATATTAACTTACCTTCAACTTATGTCTACTCAAACTACTTAAACTGACTGAAACTGTCATTAGTCACTCCATAAATCTTCTGCTGTTTTTTTGCATTTAGTGTTTTTCTCTTAGATGTTGTTTTTGATAGTCCAAGTATCCCAACACTTCGTAAAGTAATTTCAGGCACCAAACTCCTCCATGGTTTTTGAATTCCAGAAGGGGACAGAATTATAATCTGTTACATTTCTGTTTAAGAGTGTGCTCAGAAATAAAATTTCTCCTATAACTTTCTCATCTCTTTTTACTTTATTTTAGGTCTTTTGTCCAAAATAATTTTCTTCCATTGGATTCTTGCAAAACTTAAAATTATCTTCCAGATTTCTGGTTGTTAGTTCAAGGTTAACTTGTGCTTTTGTAACCCTAATTGATTTGTTCAATCATTCAGAAATGTGAAGAATTATTATCCCCTCCCCCATCT